TACATTGCACACAATCTCTGGTTGTCTGAGTGATAGTCAGGTGTCTGTTAGACCAATCCATCCACCCCACGCAATGCTTTCCTCATGATTTTAACTTTCTGCAGTTGAATGGACACTAAATGTTAGCCTCCTGATCCACACTCAAGTCTAGGTGATGACAGTAATGCACCGTTTTGTTCTTTGTAAACCAACATACAACACCAGGAAGAAGAACACGAAGAACAACGCTGGGCTGCAGTACCAAAAATGTTGCCATGTCACAGTGTAATGCTGTGGACCAATGTAGCTGTGGTGCATTTTAATGTGAGACTGGGCTGCATACACACATTAGAGTGGTGTTGGTGGTCTTTAAATATTCCTTTAAACATCTAAATCTATCAATCCTGAGCTTATATTGACAAAATATGACTGGAATGAGAATCCCAGTAGGTATAGCACTGTCTCATCTGCACAACAGGTGACATACATTATATACAGTATGTGATGTGTGAGTGGTGCCATGTGCATCCTGCCCAACTCATTTTACTGTAGAGAATGAAACACAGAAGTCCGTAGCCACACACAGATCCACACTGCAAGTTCTAAACACACAGAGTATATTTCTATTCAACTTTTCTAAAGGTCCTTTATGGCAGAGCAACAAAACCCAGGGGAGCTATGGTATGAAAAGAGCTTTCATTATTAATAGAATATTAGCCCACATAAAGGTGAATGACTGAAGGGTTCTGTTTGAACACTGTGGGGGCTGTAAAGTGCACAGAGGTTAATTCTCTGATCCAAGAGTAGATTTGTATCATTGTTTGTAGATAGAAAAGGTTTTTCCAGGGGGCTGGATTCATGTCTTCTCTCTCTGTTCCTCGGAGCACTGTGGTGGCTTGCCCAATCTGATTAATCTTAATGAATTATGCAAATAGTCTTTATCTCAAATGATTTAGCAATGTTACTGTATTGTTTTATTAATGCACTTTTGAATTACTCTGTATAATCACGTAGCCTTTCCACAGCCGTTCGCTATTTGTAATTCATCACCAGCTCTTTATTAAATCTATGGTAGTCTCCGGCGAATTGCATGCAGGATTGAGAAATTAGTCATTACTGTAATTTAATGATTTCTAACCAAACAAGAGGCAACATGGAATGCTGACCATAACAGCCCTCCTCATGCCTCCCCTTCAGTTGCAGGTCCCTTGGGTCAAATCTCTGGGAGCAAGTCTACTACATTTTTGCTTAATGAATTATGTTTAGTATAAGGAGCACTGTCCAGTGAATTCATTGTTTCAATTACACTCAGAAATTAACTTAGAAAATATGAAATTTCCCATAAAGTGGTGGTTTGTTTTGAGTCCTCAGACACCCTCACAACTATCTGCTTCACTAAGTGGATTTATGCAAGTTTAAGTGTCGTGGAAGATTCCTGGAGGTTTTTTTGTTGTTCTTACACAAATGTTATGCTGATATTTGTCTTGCGGTCAGGTGCATCCTGTTTGCTTTAATTATCTTAGAGATGTCTCTACAAAGTGACTCGAGTCAGCCTGTGACAGACACCTAATAATGTCCCACAATTCACACTGCGAGAAGAAAAAACAAGCCATGAAGTCCAAGGAACTCTTTATAGACGAGGATGATAAAGTTGTGTTGAAGCATAGACAAGAGGAAGGGTACAAAACCATTTCTAAAGTTTTGAGTATTCCCAGGAGCCCAGTGGCTTCAATAGCTGTGAAATAGAAGAAGTCTGAAATCACCAAGACCCTTCTTAAAGTCGTTCATCTGGCCAAACCAAATAAGCAGACAGGAAGTGCCTTGGTCACAGAGGTGGCTGAGAAAAATCTGATGTTTTTTCCTGTTTTGTGGGCATTTGTATTTGTATAGTGGTGTATTTTATATTATTTGTATTGTTCGGATACATCAGTTTTGATTTTTCTTTCTGCGGTTCATTATGGGCAATTCACTTAAAAGCAACCTCAAAATGACCTTTCAACAGGTATTGTTTTTATATAAATAAATTAATAAACAGATAGATAAATAGAAGCGGCCAAGAACTAAATGGTATTCTAAAACAGTGTCAGAAGTCCTCCGCTGAGATGGAGAACCTGCTAGAAGGACAGTCAGACTTTTATGGTACAGTGGGTTGATGGAAGCCAAGTTCTGTAAAAGGCAGATGACAGCTCACTTAAAGTTTGCCAAAGGGCATCTAGAAACGGCTCATCTTTAGGCACAACAATGTCCAAAAGCATTCAGCCAAGACAACGTTGAAACAGCTTCAGGACAATTCTGACTGTTCTTGAGTGGCCTGGCCAAACCCCCGGATGTAAACTCCGTGGAACATCTGTGGCAGGACCTGAGGGTGGCTGTGCATGGATGCCTCCCTTTCAACCTGATCAAGCTTGGGAACATCTGCTAGTAAGAATCAAATAAAGTGCCCAAATCCAGGTGTGCAAAGTGTAGATGTGTAGAGACTTAGCCAACAAACTAATTGAATAGAAAGAAATAGTTTGAACACTATATGTCAAAACATATGAATCCCAGAGACAGAGAGGGCTAGTATGGTAACAAGAGTGAAAAACATCCTTCTCTGTTGTGCAGTGTCATCATCCCCCCCTCCCCCAAATCCCTCCGGTTTCCCTTTTCTGTAAGCTTTTAATGACATGCAATAACAATGCTTCTGGGATTTCTGTAAAGCAGAAATCATTAGAAACAAATCAATAAAAAAATACTATGACTAGGGTGGAGATGGGTAGTACTAATTTTGCACGATAAACAGAGGCTTGATGCTCACAGCTTCTACTGCAGCTTTGGAAATGACTCACACAGAATTAGGGTTGTTTTAGGGCGAGTACTTATTACCAGTCTCTCCCTGGACCAGATTTCAGATGGCTTTTAGTGAAGTCTGTTCATTTGAAGGTACAGTGCAGTTTAGTATTTTTGATCATGGCCTATTTTTGTATTTGCTGATTTTCACATTTCATTTCCATCATGAACACAGCCTTGAGTAACTGTGAACTTTTTTCCTCTGCCTCTTTTCTTGCATAATTATCCACTTGACCTGTTCATTTTAGGTCCCACAGCTCCCATCTATACAACAGTGTGGTCCAATATAAAAAGAACATTAAAACTTATTGTAAAAATTGCAATTTTTACCATACAGTGATATCCATTGAGTTAGATTTATTGATATAATACTGACATTTGTAATAAATGATAGTCAACAGGCTTCAAAAACAACAGATACCATTAAAACATTTTGGCAGAACTCAGTTGTGTTGACCCTTGGTGACTTCCAGTCAAACAACTTTACATTTTTTTCTGGGTTTTATTGTTGTGGCATCATCTTTTGTCTTTGAAAGGAAGACTCGACATCCTAATAAACTCAAGAAAGCCAAACACTTGATAGTTTCAAATCAATCAAAAAGAAACAAAAAAAGGATATCTGCTCCATAAGGCTAAAACGAATGAAAATGCAAATGATCTCACTAGATCTTAAACACAGATATTAATCAAGAGTCCTAGAGCTCTTTGTGACAAGAAAATAACACAGATGTTTCACATCACACGGTTTAGTTTTAAGGGTGACGTTTTTTCTGGTGTAATCCATAGTCTTTTACTCAATAAATATCTTCATGTTGAGCCTTCTAGTCCATAGGAATAAAACTATAATACAAAGAGAGATTTTGTGGCCAGTAGAGTTCAGAGACAGCTACTGTGGATACTGGATCTAAAGTCAGGAATCTTTTTGGCTATGCAGTCTTATATGATGACCCCTGTTCCCTTTCCTCCATGCATTCAGTGGAATGTCTGTAATAATTGTCCTTGTTGGTCCCTTGATTTCCACTGATCCTCAAAACACATGATATCCAAATGTCCTACGATGTTGGTTAGACAAATAAAGTTTGATTCCAAACTAGTGGATCCTGGAAAGAGATGACTATCGTGTGACCTAGAAATGAAGGGAAAGACAAAGCAGAAGACAACTGGTCAGTGACATGAATGGAAGTAGAAAACAAAAAGAGATTCAACTCATTAAAGATGACAAATAGTAGCAACACTCTCAAAGCCATCTGACATACCATATGACAGAAACCACTGAGAGAAGAGAGAAATAATTAGAGCCACTAGGAGGAGGTTTCACTTCCTTCACATTAGGGCTGCAAGTAATACTTCTTTTCATTATCACTAAATCTGATGGTTATGTTGGACCTTCACCAAATGATTGTTTGGCCTATAAAATGAGATCTGAAAGATCTCAGCATCTACCGGATGGATTGCCATGTAACTTTGTACAGACATTCATGCAGAGGATGATGTGCAGCTTTGATTGGGATGCTGTTGTGTGGACTATTGTGACCTTTGGTACAAACATTCATGTCCTCCTCAGTAAAAACTGCAATTACTTTGGTGATCCATGAACTTTTCATCCAGCCCGACCATTGTGTCATTACAAAAGAAATGGTATTCCCATTAGCCTCAGCTGTACTTTGTGTTAAGTCCTAAAGTGTTAGCATGACAACACACTAACCTAAGATGGTGAACACTGTAAAGAATATTGGCTACACCTCAGCAAATTAGCATTGTTTTTATGCACATGAGTATCATGAATGTGCATAAAAACTAGCATGAATGTAGATTCTGATATTTTGTACACCAATCAGCCATAACATTATGACCACCTGCCTAATACTGTGTACACAGGAGACGATGTGGCAGTTCGTTGCACTCACTGTGCAACTCACTTTGCAGCTCATTGTGCATCTTCTGTGAATCCCTTTGCTTCCATAGTTCTACTGTCAGGAAGAGCACGTATGTGTCAACCATTCAGTGAAAGTCCTATGTAAAATGAGTGAAAATTGTGGTCGTGAGGACAAGTTAATGTTTTAGATGAATTCAGCAGCCTCCCCGCTCTAGGTGTGAGGGGGGGCGACTGTGGTTTAGTAGGTAGAGCAGTCATCTCTCAACCGGAGGGTCAGAGGTTTGAATCTCGGTGCCTGCAGTCCACATGCCGAAGTGTCTTGCCTCCCCCCAAGAGATTCTCTGACCCAGGCATCAGCCATCACAGTTTAACCCTTGTCAAAGTCAAATCCTCACACTTGCCCATTTTTCCTGCTCCAGCATATCAGCTCTGAGGACTGAATGTTCACTTGCTGCCTAACATACCTCAAACACTGACAGGTGCCATTTTAACAAGACAGCCAATGTTATTCACGTCACCTCTTAGTGGTCATAATCTTATGGCTGATCAGTGTAGATTGACTGATTCATTATTTGACTAATTCTTATAGCTCGACATAAATCGTGGCTACCTCATTAGAACAAACTCTTGTTTTGGTGCTGCGCACCCTGTAACTGCCTATCTGTCAAAAGTGTGACAGCTTCAAGGTCTATAGACTTGCAGCTGGCATGTTTATAATTCAATCATCAGTGGCATTATAAAGCGGGAAGACAACGAGCAGTAGAAGTAAGATGTAATGCAATGTACAGTACATCATGATCACTGATTTCCATGCAAACAGGGTGAATATTATTATTCATGATGGCATACTGCAGGCATAAGTATTCTCAGACATTTTCATGAATATTAATCTGCTGGATTGAAAGATGCAGTTTGTACTACTCTCACTTAAAGCATAACTCAAAAAAATATCTTTGATAGTTTGCCCTTTAAATGTATAACACAGGTAACCTTTCTGGCTTGCCCTCTGTTGCAGGAGGCACTATAAAACACATAAACACGGGTGTTTGTGTGTGAATATTTGCATATTACTGTCATTCAATTAGCAGTTGGCGGGGTCTCATCAGTCACACCAACAAGGGGTATACTGCACACAATCAGTCTTCTGAGCTATGTGATTCTAAATCTTTGTGGAAGTGTGATTTTTCTGCTGCTTAGAGCTGCATCTGAAGACAGTGCACGCTGCTCAGGGAACCACAATTTAATTTACACTTTCATGTGACAATCCTTAGGAATCAGGGGTGTGAGAGAGAATATGAAAATGATTTGGCCTTGCTACCGTTGCAGTAGCAGACTGTAGACATACATCCATACACTAATTTAAGCCATATTATTTGCTCACAACATTAGAGGTAAATGTTTTTAGCCTCCAGCATATTTTAAGAGGCAGCAACATTTTAGATCTACTGCTGCGCTGCAATAATCAACCCATAAATTGAATTACAAGCACAGTCATACTGATCTTTGCTGTATGAATATTTGGTATGCATATAATATTACCCATGATTCAAGCTCAGTTTTATTTCTCACTATAAAAGAAAAATCAATAAAAACATAATGAGATATACAAGAAGAAATGTGGAAGGGATAAAAGAGTAAAACTAAATTAACAGAGTAAAAAAAAAAAAAGAGTAAAATGCAGCAGAAACAAAAATGCAAAGCACACTGAAACCTTATCAAAGCAATTAGCATGGGGTGGTGTTGCAGGCACCACTGAAGGGGTTATCGGTGAGTAAACACACAAAGGGGAATTAGCAGAACAGAAGGCAGCTCCTCAGGATTTGATGCTTAGCCTGCTTCAGGATGAAAGGCTACACTTGACTGGTCAGCTGCAGGTTCAAAGTCCCATTGATAAACAACTGAGACCCTACCTTCGATGGAGAGCTATTAAAGCAAACAAGTGTGCATATACATACGTATGTGTGTGTCTCTAGATAAAGAAAGCAACTAAACCCCTCTGATTATTCACAGCTCTGACTGCATAGGTCTCGCCTGATTGTTTTAAAAACTCTTTGAAGTATGGTATATTATTTCAGTCTTCAGTGTTGCTCCATAATCACAAAGTGTACGTCAATGTCAGCCTCCAGCAATGTCTTAATGGGCTATAAAAAAAAAATCAATCATCAATAGAATGATTTAGCTCTTCTTTACAGTTCTTTACAGGCTACCCACCGATTAAATGTCTCATGCCTTTTTCAGCCTCTTAACTCTTAAAATCCATATTTTTCACACACTGTTTTTGACTGACAGCATACAGTAGGGCATAGCAACATAAACTAACACAACTGGTTCAAGTTTGGTTTGTTTTAAACCATGAAGTATTATTTAGTTACTTAAATCAGCTTGTCTTATTCTCTCAATAATATCATTTCAGAATTGTAAGTGCTGAATGTAAATTTAATGTATTAATCTATTAAAACATACCAGGCAATACTATATTAGTTGCATGAAGCTACTCACACACCACCGGCACTTGACAAAACAATCTCACCTCAAGGTCCATTGACTAAATGGACCTCAAGTTCTGTTTCCGAGGTGAAGAATAAACTTTAAACTTTAAGTCTACATGGATGAAGTCTTGTTTAAAGTGTTTTGGAAATCTACAGTAACAGGAGAATTGAAAAAAAAAAAGTCTGGTTGAAAGCTCCAGATCATCTAATTAATGGATGATGAGGTGAGACTGTTCTGTCTACAGCTGTTTTCAGGGTCAGTGAGAGACCATGTCCTTATCACTGCACTGTGATTGGCTACTGTTCAGCCCTGCCTCCTAGAAAGTCTTCATATATCACCACATTGTTTTCCAAATTTCATTGTAGCGGCATCATAATTACTGGCTGGATTATGTTCAGAGCAACACTTCCTGAATTAATGAAATGCCACATTTATGAACTGCACCAGAGTGCAAGGGGCTGCTTGTAGTGGATGGCCAGCATTTAAAAAGCACTCCAGCGACCAAGGTTTAAATCCCATTTGGTTTTAGATCAATGTTACTACACACGCAGTGTCTCAAGGCACTGTGAACGTTGTCTGTATTAAAATGAACCACAGTTTTTCCCCCCTAAAATTAACCAAGTGGAGTTTGTACTGCAAAAATGTTTGGAGAAAACAAATATGTTGTCAATGGCCATTTTACTCATACATTCAGCCCACATTACAACATGCATTAACAACATTTCTCAATTATGTGAATAGAAACCCAGTCACAATAACATTACCTTTAAAATGTATTTGTTGCTGCAAACTAGTTGTATATAAATGTAATTTCTAGGAAAGAGAGTTGCACGATTAGGTGTGAATGTCCATGTGTTCTGTAACAGTGGGAAGGTTCCCAGCAATGAAAACACAATAGTACAGTTCAGTAACTCATTTTCAAGCCACTACATATGTGATACAGTAAATTTAGGGATTTTTTTTTTTTTATCAAGTCTTTATCAAGTCCCCTTCAGAAAGCAATCCATCACAACCATTCCTCACTATTTCTACTAGTGTCATAGCACCTGTCAAGTAAAGAGTCTCTTTGGCTCTTTTGCCTTCTGCTCTGTGATTGATTGGAAGTGAAAAGCAGGAGCTGTTGGGGTTATAATTCCTGACATTACCAGCAGGACTATAACACTAGCTGCTCCCGGACATGCAGAGAAAGAGGGAACAACTGGAGTTGTCCAAGAAGGGGCCTGAAGGGTATTGAGACATCTGATTTATTGATGTGACTTCACTGTGAGGTGAAACGACACCATCATTTTTTATCTACAATGCCACCGCTGCACACAGAACAAAGGATTTATAGGAAAGTATGAGGCATGTACCTGCAACTGTTTGTTTACACCTACATTATGCATCATTGTTGAGAAAGCATCAACTTAAATACTTTTTTTTTTTACCACTAACATGAAAATACTGTATATACAATATAGTTATAGTTTTAGACAACGACTATTAACACAGTATTGAGTAATTTTTTGTTGACATATTAACCAGCAAGTTCTCCTTACTAGAAGATGACAGAAATTACGATACTAGACTGGAGCAGACATGGAAAATATCATTTACACCAATAAATCTTGTAATTATACAGTACTTAGTTTTATTAACCTCTTTCTGAAAAGTAACTAGTAACTAGATAAAATAAATGCAGTGAGTACAAAGTAAAATATTTTTCTCTGACATGTAGTGAAGTATGAAGCAGCAGAAAATGAAAATACTCAAGTACAAATATCTCAAAATTGTACTCGAGTACAATATTTGAGTAAATGTACTTAGTTACTTTCCACCTATGGAAACAGTCATACTTATAAACCTGAGCTCCATCCTCAGCGCAGCCTCCAGTTCATTCCTCACAGTGATGCTAACTGTCCAGGAGGCTTGGGTTCAGAGCCCTCTAGCATACACAGTCTGTCCCTTTGTGGATCTCTGTGGGAGGCAGCAGGACCATGAGCATGGAGCGACCCCCGCTGACTCCCAAATCAAAAAAGAGTCAAGGTTCTGACAGGCTCTACTAGCCACCTGGACCCCTGCATGTCTCTGCCTCTGTTTCTCCTTTCCCTTGGCTGAGTAAGAGGGCATGAATTATTAACCCAGCTAAAATAAAAAGCTCTGCTTCATCCAGGCCTCCTGTAACCATGAATAATGGAAGAGGCAGCTCAACTACAGGCGTTTGGTGAGTCAAACACTGGGCCATGATGGATGGCTAAGGGCTCACTGTGTCCCCTCTCCTCACCTACCATCCACTTCAGGTGTACCACACCCTGAAACCCGAAACACCCATCTTGGTAACCTCTATTAATCTCTGGAAGTGCTACAGCTTGAGCCCTCCTGCCCTGTCTCACCACATCCCACTCACACATTCCAGTTTGGCTTGCTGGAGGGATTTGTGTTTGTTCTTTGTTTGTCTTTCTCCTGCCTTTGCTTACCTTTGTTTTGCTTCTCGCTGACACTTTTTAAAGCATATGCAACCCTGCTCTGGCTTTTCAAAAGCAGGACCTGACTCAAGCCTGCTGTCTCTTACCCTTAATGCTAAAACCATGAGGATGAGATGGATACATATAACCTGGATTTCTTGTCAATCACCAGCGATGTTTCCCTAGAGGCTGCTGCCAGTTTGTACCAGTGAAGTCACTGGTTTGCACACTGTTTAATAGTGAAGTGATAACTGATTTTCCATTTGCAATGCTGTCATGTGCTGTGTTCATCCATATCTCACCAAAACCACCAACTGAGAATTATGAGCCTTATAATGATAATGGTTCTATATTTATTTAATCTATTTATATGCATATTTGTTGTTCTCAACAAAACATTTACTTCTAGTCTCATTATCTTCAAGAAAACAACTCTGACATATATGGTAGTATGGTATTACAAGCCTGCAAATCACATTTTGGTGAAACCATAAAATGCAGAAATAAGGCAAATGTCTTGTTGCATATATTGATGTATTATATGTACATGTACTGTATTACTGAATAATTTTTAAACTAAATAAATATTCTGTTTTGCGGATAGTTTCTGTCTTAAAGCAATTTGTAATTTAAACCATGACTATTTAATGACTATTGATGAGAGCACTGGTATCATATCACTGACGTAAAACAATGGTATATTTTAAAGTGCTAATCGCTTTTTAATCAAATACATAAAACCACAACTTTGATTGCCCTGGAAATTACATGACTTGCAAGTTTGACAAAACAATCCTCATAAATGTCGTAATGCAATAAAGGAGCATATTGATAATACAAGAACAATGATAACAGCTGCTAAAATTAGAATAAACTGACGCTACACGGAGACATCCTCAAAATCAATTAAGAAGCCAATTAAGTCTTACACACATTCAAGATTTATGGTGTTTTAATTAGTTTTGCATCATATTAGCTTTTTATTTGTATGCACAGGAAATTCTTTGACCAAAAAAAAAAAACAAAATTTCAAGTAAACTTGTTGCACGTTCACCTTGGCTTGGTTTGTTTTCACCCCAAAACATTCCAGTGAACCAAAATGCAACACTTATGTTCCTGTTGACTCCACTCACATGCCCCTTCAGAATTGCACACAGTCAGCTGCTGGGTTCCTAGAAACTACCTGATCTACTTGGTTTAAACAAATGAGCAGCTCAAGTAAAATAAGATAAATTGCCTGTAGATAGACTTTCACAACGAAATGTGAGATGTAGCTAAATAGATAGTTGAACTTAACTCACCCCTTTCTACTGTTTTAAGCTTCAAGAAGCACTTCGCTGATTCCCATGTGAGTCACATCCTCCTCTCCTGCAGCCTCCTACTCTGCTCCACTCTCATTTGAAGTTGATAAAAAATATTTCTCAGAGCTTGCTTTGGGGCTTATTTCTTTCTTTTCAAATACTTATTTAGCCCTCCTCCATTATTCGATTACTATTATCTAAAGCCATAAAATCATGAGGAACTATTACGTTAGAGCATGATAATTTCAGAACACCTATTATCTTTACACAAATATTTTGTGAAGTAAACCCACCTTGGTTGTCTTAACTTTGTTTCCTGTACTGCAGCTCCACCCTTTGAGATCTGGCAGCACTTTACACTCTTCACCATCCATGCAGGGATGCATCTGGCACCACCACTTCTGTGCAACTATGGATGCTGTGAGGAAAATGAAAGAAGCAATACAGTAATAAATAAATACATAAAAGGGTGGGGGGCACTGGAGGCAATTAACAACAGGCTCTTTGAAAGTGCAGCACAGTTTTCTCCTGTTTGAAGCAACACAAAGTGCCTTCAGTTTCTGTGTACATCACCGTGAGTGTCCTTTGATCTCTGGCTGACAGAGGCCTGTCCAACTTGCCCTAGTGTGTTTTCAGGTCTGAATTACAGGGTGGGGTCAGCATCATTCCAGTGAGTGCTGTGAACAGGCGCGTTCAGTGTGAGGAGGGTGGATATCTGTACATAGGAGGATTAATAAAGCGTGCAGCACAGGTTGGTGCATCAAGGTCTTAAGTTGCTTTGAGGTGGCCTAGAGGGGGAAAACAGCTTCCTTTGACATTTCTAAAGTAAAAAACTACCAGAATTGAAGAAGCCTCTGTCAGAGCCATTACAGTGAAATGACGAGACAGGGATCGATTCACCTGTAACTGAGGCCACTTTTGACATGATATTAAATGACCTGCTTTATTGTCCACTCCAGTGAACACAAGGTCTGATACAGCCTCAAAAACACACAGAGAATGAATGAAATGTTGGGCAGTTTGATTTTTTTTTTAGATTATAAATTGCTTTGGGACACACAACAGCAGAATCCTGAAAATCTCAAAACTGTATTTTTTTGTCTCTCATACAATAGGTTTATCCCCACATATTCACATAAATAAGCACCAGAGGCACAGTGACAGGTGTGACAGTTTTGCACCGTAATCACAAGTCAGTCTCAAACCATTACCAAAACTGTAATGAGGAGTCTGGCATACCGTCTACACAAGATGGAGCCGCTCTTGTTGTTCCCGCCACCTGTCCAGGGAAGCAGGAGCATTTGACAGTCTGGGATCTCTCTTCGATCTTGTTCTTGTTGCAGCATCGGTGTGCAGCAATTACCTCACAGGTTCCCGCTTTCACATGAACTGAAAGCACAAACACAAACAGTGAGTATAGAAAGAATGTAGCCCTCTGCAACACAAATTCACTTTTCTTGAAGCTTTTCATCAAAACATTAAAGCAACAAATCACAGAGCTCTACAACTATACAGCATGTGTTTATATGTGGTTGTTTGTGCATTTTTAATGTACAGCACAGAGATTTAAAATTTCTGTAAATAAAGTGGGGGTTTTTTTGTATTGACAGGAAATTCTGTAGTGTGTTACTTTGTTTCTCAGTCATTTCCAACTTCCCTACAATAAGGCTGCACAGACAGTACTTGCTAGTTACAGTGCCTTGCGAAAGTATTCGGCCCCCTTGAACTTTGCGACCTTTTGCCACATTTCAGGCTTCAAACATAAAGATATAAAACTGTAATTTTTTGTGAAGAATCAACAACAAGTGGGACACAACCATGAAGTGGAACGAAATTTATTGGATATGTCAAACTTTTTTAACAAATAAAAAACTGAAAAATTGGCCGTGCAAAATTATTCAGCCCCGTCCGTTTAAAGCGCAGAGAGCATCATGAAGAACAAGGAACACACCAGGCAGGTCTGAGATACTGTTGTGGAGAAGTTTAAAGCTGGATTTGGATACAAAAAGATTTTCCAAGCTTTAAACATCCCAAGGAGCACTGTGCAAGCGATAATATTGAAATGGAAGGAGTATCAGACCACTGCAAATCTACCAAGACCTGGCCGTCCCTCTAAACTTTCAGCTCATACAAGGAGAAGACTGATCAGAGATGCAGCCAAGAGGCCCATGATCACTCTGGATGAACTGCAGAGATCTACAGCTGAGGTGGGAGACTCTGTCCATAGGACAACAATCAGTCGTATACTGCACAAATCTGGCCTTTATGGAAGAGTGGCAAGAAGAAAGCCATTTCTTAAAGATATCCATAAAAAGTGTCGTTTAAAGTTTGCCACAAGCCACCTGGGAGACACACCAAACATGTGGAAGAAGGTGCTCTGGTCAGATGAAACCAAAATCGAACTTTTTGGCAACAATGCAAAACGTTATGTTTGGCGTAAAAGCAACACAGCTCATCACCCTGAACACACCATCCCCACTGTCAAACATGGTGGTGGTAGCATCATGGTTTGGGCCTGCTTTTCTTCAGCAGGGACAGGGAAGATGGTTCAAATTGATGGGAAGATGGATGGAGCCAAATACAGGACCATTCTGGAAGGAAACCTGATGGAGTCTGCAAAAGACCTGAGACTGGGACGGAGATTTGTCTTCCAACAAGACAATGATCCAAAACATAAAGCAAAATCTACAATGGAATGGTTCACAAATAAACATATCCAGGTGTTAGAATGGCCAAGTCAAAGTCCAGACCTGAATCCAATTGAGAATCTGTGGAAAGAACTGAAAACTGCTGTTCACAAACGCTCTCTATCCAACCTCACTGAGCTCGAGCTGTTTTGCAAGGAGGAATGGGCAAAAATTTCCGTCTCTCGATGTGCAAAACTGATAGAGACATACCCCAAGTGACTTACAGCTGTAATCGCAGCAAAAGGTGGCGCTACAAAGTATTAACTTAAGGGGGCTGAATAATTTTGCACGGCCAATTTTTCAGTTTTTTATTTGTTAAAAAAGTTTGACATATCCAATAAATTTCGTTCCACTTCATGATTGTGTCCCACTTGTTGTTGATTCTTCACAAAAAATTACAGTTTTATATCTTTATGTTTGAAGCCTGAAATGTGGCAAAAGGTTGCAAAGTTCAAGGGGGCCGAATACTTTCGCAAGGCACTGTATCTTTCTTCTCTTCATTGGATTGCTGAAATTTCACTGATTTGCTTGACTAGAAGTCTGTTAGCTTAGCTTAGCACAAAGACTTTTCTCACAAGCAGAAACTGGACTGGCGCCGTTTTCTAAAAGTACAAAAACAGAATGTAAAAATGATTTTGTCATATCGAAACAGCCAACCTAGATCCCCCCCCAATGATTCCCTCACATCTAGTTCTAAGATAGATCCATATTTATCAGACAAATATAGGAGTGGTATTGATCTTCATCTCAACTCTTCTGTGGACGGTGAATAAACATATTTTCCAAAATGTTGAGTTGTAAAATCTGAATGAGGGATACTATCAGCCATCTAGCAAATAAATCTACCGCGCTATGTTTCTCTTATATGAATCACCAGTGTTCAATATAAATGAGACTTCCTTAACACAAGTCATGTATTATGTAGAGATTCAAGAATTCTGTTCATACAGTACAGTATGTTACACACAGTGGTAACAAAATGTTCAACATGGATGCATCAATGAGAAAGAGAGATTCTCGTTCTGTTATTTGTGATGCTCACAAAAGAAACAGGTAAAAACGACACAAAAATCTGGTGCTACAAAAGGTGGGGCAGCACTGTGCCTCCACGTTTCCTTTAATATAAAGATATTCCAACAAGGCTAACTCAAGTAATTTCGCTCAGTCTTTTCTCAAAAATCCAAGCACAATGACTACTTGAAAACCAGGCCACCCCCCAGCTTTGAGCCCCAGCACAGCCCCACCTGTCTCTGTATTCTTAAAAACACTCTTAATCCACTGACCCTGCACCTAACAGGCAGTGCTAACAGAGTTACATAACATAAAAATAAAAAAAAAACCCACACATGCTTCTAGAAAGTGACTTGATTAACACCACTAAACTGCTTATTTACATTAAAGAACATAACTATATCAATTACAATGACACTGTTTTCACTGCCATTAAACTGGATCAATACTGTTCTCTATTTATATTCATTACTTTTCTGCATAGGCTCATCACAATTCAAGGCACGTTTGAGTATTTACACATAACAATAAGAATTGAATGGGTGGGAAAAAAATAGAAAAGCTTTGAAAAAGTTTTGACATTCCTTTCAGATAAGCTTTAATTATGCCTGTAAAGATTTTCAATTTGGAACTTGACTTGAAAATAGACTGCAGCAAGCTTCCATCTTCCCATTAGTTAGCGATCCAGAAATCTCATCTACAACATTAAAAACATTTTGCTTCAAATCAATAAGGTGCTATTCACATTCCCACAAAAGGCAAGACAACAATTGCCGATTGAGTGCTTTTCACTGAGCAGAAACTTACTGATGCAAAAACAGGTCAGGCTCCGTGCCCTTGATGTGATTATCTTTAAGCCACCAACACACCCTCTGGTCAAAGTTAATTTCCAAAGTTGGAGTAGGTTGGCTGGAATAATCTAACTTTGTACAAGAGAGGTAAGATGAGCAAAGACAATCATTGTAAATCACCTGATTATAAAAAAAATAAAACATGGGGCAGCTTTACAAATCAAGACTGCATTACAGTTAGATAATATTTCTCTATTAATATAGCTGAATTAAGTGTAAAAAAGTGTCAAGGGACACACGGCACATTTAAAGCCTTTAAAATCTCCCCAACTTCTCTGCTGCACAATGATGTGCACCATTGGATGCAGTTTTGCTGTATTTACGCCCACTCTGCGGTGTGAAAAAATAGGAATGAAAGCTACTGTACAGCATGAGCTGCGGTTTGCCTGGGACTATCAACTCATTAAGGTGCTGGAAGCGGCTGGCTGGCTCTGCCTGTGTGGAGGAGAACAGCTGATTAAAACTGGAGCTGCTGGCTAAGGTCAGTGACTCTGAGACTGGATCCAAAACCACCACACAGTGTGGACAAGATGAGAGGTCAGAGAGCAGGCAGCAGTGGTCAACCCGAGCTGGTAACAATCTGTATGAGAAGAAACAACCGTGACCTGGTCTGGCAACTGTTGTGTCTATATGCTGGTTATGGGGTATAAATTATTTGTTGGTGTAAATGTGAAATAATACAGGGATACTATATGTATGAAATCAACACTATATTCCAAACCGCTGTTTCCAAGATCAAGAATAAACTGTGAACCTCAATCTTTTCAGCTAACATAGGCAATAAGTATTAAAGCACGGAGAAAAGCGTAAATAAGAAAAGTAAAGAGGGCTTACGCCAGCTGCTGATGGAGATCATGTAGCATGACTGAAAGCTAAAAAACAGCTACTAAATCAACCTTGTGGTGAAATTTCTCAACTACTGTTATCAAGGTCACGAACGAACTTTAAACCCCAGGTTACAAAATCATTTCCTCCCTCTCTTTAAAATATAAGAACTGCTGCTATTTGCAGCTTTTTGTTATGCACAGTGTTGTATAGATGTATGTATTTATGGTTTTTGTTACACGTTTCATGTTACTGGATTGGATTTTAGACTTCGAATACTAAGAATTTACAACTATTGCAGTTAAAATGTTTCAATACTTTATTTACTTGCTCCATGATCCTTTGTTTAAAAAGGAATGTAAAAACTACAGGACAATAAAAGTGTTTAAGGGAGTATTTTAATGAATATATTATATTGTTAATAATGCATTATTTAGAGGACCCACTGGACTCATTAAATACAACCACAGACATGTATATTATTATGATTTGTTTCTTCATATGAAACCCAGTCTCACATCAGAATGTATATTAGCTGCATTAGTCCAGAATGCAAAACGCACTAGTCTCACAACAACGGCTCGAAAATTGTGACAACAGCATTTTCTTTATACCTATTCTTTTCCATTGGCCTGTGCTGACTGTCATTTAAGCTGGCAAAAACAAAAAATAATGTTAGTTATGGTCAGAGAAAGCCCATAGGTTGAAAGTACAACACCACACATGGGACTCGATCTCCACTTGTCTGGTGTTCTGGAAAGTCTGGTGGTCGTTGGGCTCATCCATCTGCCCCAGCCACCTTCTTCTGGCCATTATTGTGACACTGCTATGTTTTATGCTGTGGACCAGTGTAGCTGCACTGCCATATATCCATCCAATAGCCATACATATCAGAGCTGTAGCCAAGGAAGAGGTCAATGTGTTGTTGTTTTTTTTTATTTTGATTTGATTTATTCTTTCAAGCATGTAAAGACAGTTGATATGACAACACACATCATTTTACACATATCCAACA